CGTCCAGGCGGCACAATGACGTCGGACATGTAGACGTAGTCCCCCGGCCAATCGATAGTAACGAGGATATCGGCAAACTCTCGTATGACGTCCGGATGCTCTGCCGGAGGGTTGTCAATGTGTTGGTAAATTTCTGTGTCACGCTTTCGTACTCGGTTGTGACCATATCCTCCATCGCTGTCGCTAGCTCCGGTAAACAAGTCATCCACTTCTGAGGATGAAGACTATAAAAAAAATTTATTATTATTATTATTTTTTTTTTTTGATTATTCTAATTTATATAAATATATTTACGTCGCTTGGATTTCCGTCGTCGCTGTGAACACTGCCATCATTAAAATCACTACTGTTATCGGATAGAATACTGGGTCCGTGTCCGGTTGGATACCGTATATGATTTCGATCAGTTCGAAAAAGTTCGTCGATTCTTTGATCGATTGCGAAAATTGCATCTTCGCATATTGAGCTATTCGAGTGAACGGGAGTGCTAACAGTTCGGTTGTCCGTTGGCGTACCTTGTCTTCTTCTGTCGGCATCGTCGTCTGAATCTCCAAATTCATCGGACGTTTGGGTTGTTTCTTTTGTCGCTTGCCGATTGGTATCGGGCCGGTACACCGTAGTTCCAAATTCTGTTGAGCCTGAGTAATATTCCGTTTTATAGCTACTTAGGCTGTATTCGGTGCCGAATAAGACGTCTGGTCTGTAGTATGAGTCGGTTGACACTGACTCGTCGAACATTGACCAGCCGCTTGTTGGTCGGCCATTTGGATTTCTATTGCTGTCTTTTCTAGAAATCGTTCCAATTCCTGTGTCGGTTTGAACGCCTGTCCACATTGCGATAAATCGATTTCTTCTGTACTCTCACTGAATATACTAGCGTTGAATTCCGCTTTTCGGCCATGCTTTCTACAGACTCTGTACGCCGGCCGCTCGCGAAGCGAAAGCATGGCCATGGCTTGTACAAGACTGCGGCTAGGAGTGGGTGGGACCCGCACCTGGTGTAGTAGTGGTGGTGTAGAGTAAAATATAATGAAATTATATTTTCGGCAAGTACTCAGCTCGGGTTTTTCACGCGTGTATGAAAATTGCCTATCTCTTGCCCCGGCATAGACAATAAACAATTTAATTATATTTCCTAAGTTATTACGTAATATCGATATATTGTTTTTTATCAATTCCAGTAAACATGAGCTCATTAATTTATAATGACAAATTAATTATTTATTAGATCACGTAGACCACCGGATTTATACTATATATATATAGTATCTATGGTGAATATAAACGGTATACGATTTATCGATAAAATTCATTGCGTTTACTGAGTTCATCGCGTATACACCGTTATTATTTAATTTACTTATTTTACGTCTATTTTATGTATTAACATTGTTTTCTTTTTCCAATAATGAATACCGCGGAATTCAACGCTAGCATATTCAGTGAGAATACAGAAGATATTGATTTAACGCAATGTGGTCAGGTGTTCAAACCGACGCAGGAGTTAGAACGATTTCTGGAGAAGACGGCAATAGAAATCGAAATGGCCGACCAACAAGCGGCTGGTCACTGTTCGACGAGTCAGTGTCAGCCGACTCATACTACCGACCAGACGTCTCATTCGACAACGAATACGGCCAAAGTAGCCATCAAACGGAATATTACTCAAGCGCAACAGAATTTGGAACTACAGTGTACGGGCCCGATACCGATCAACAAGCAGCAAAAAAAACAACCCAAACGTCCGATGAATTCGGAGATTCAGACGACGATGCCGACGGAAGAGGACAAGATACGCCAACGGACAACCGAATTGTTAGCGCTCCCGTTCACTCGGATAGGTCAATATGCGAAAATGCAATTTTCGCAATCGATAAAAGAATCGACGAAATTTTTCGAGCTGATGGAAATCATATACGGCATTCATCCGGACACGGACCCGGTATTTTATCCCATAACAATAGTGATTTTGATGATGGCCGTGTTCACAGCGACGACGGATATCCAAGCGACGTAATTATATTTATATAAATTAAAATATTTAAAAAAAATTAAATCATAAATTTTTTTATAGTCTTCATCCTCAGAAATGGATGACTTGTATACCGGAGCTAGCGACAGCGATGGAGGATATGGTCACAACCGAATACGAAAACGTGATACAGAAATATACCAACACATTGACAACCCTCCGGCAGAGCATCCGGACATCATACGAAAGTTTGCCGATATCCTCGTTAATATCCATTGGCCGGGGGACTACGTCTACATGTCCGACGTTATTGTGCCGCCTGGACGCGATGGAGTTATTCAATGTGTTGAAGAGCTGTGTCAACACCTCAGATACGTCTTCAATAAAAAGTTCGTCGTCATCTGTCAACATGACGACCACGTCCACGTCGCCCACGTGTGCAAGCAGACAACGAACTCTTGCCGTTGCTCCTAGCTCATCAGAAGTAAAAATTTCCGAAGATATAAACGCCGCAACATTCGAAGACGCGTTTATGCGTGCGACTTCGATGCCGCTGACTGGTCCGACATTGTTGGATATTTCTGTACAAACGGCCACATCGCAGAAGAAGTGTTCTGCGACGGTGCCGA